AGCACATGCTTCTCGAAGATTGAATTGGTCGATGCATACCTCCAGATTCCACTAGCACCAACCTGCCGGCACTTCACTACTATCGTGCCCGATCATCAAGCGTTGCAATATCTATTCAGTCCACAAAATGCGATCTCCAAACCGACGGCGGCGATGATTCAGCGATGGAGCATTGCATTGGCTGCTTACGACTACGACATAGTGNCAAAACAATGCCCCGGGCCGATTTTCTCTCGCAGTGGTCCAAATTCTCGGAGGCTAAGAGGTGCCATTTCATTGCTACTGCTGCCCCGGTATCTCGAGAGAAGTTGCGCCGATGTACCAAAAGATACTATGCAGAAATCATAACGGCTCTATCAAAAGGATGGCGTCCCGACCTGAAGCGGAAGTTCGCAGCTTTCTATGCACACCGCGAAGAAATCAGTGTCCAACCTGACGGAATACTATGCCGCAACGATCGACTGATAATCTCACCTCCGTGACGCAAGACAGTGCTAGAAGATCTGTACAAAGGCCACTTAGGGGTGGAGAAGATGAAGTCGCGGACACGACAGATGTGTTGGTGGCCCGGTCGTGATGAAGACATTGGTCGAATTGCTAAGAACTGCGAAGCATACCTACAAAAGCAGAAGTCAAAACCGAAGAATTGGATTCCATGGCCAGAAAGCTGTATTCCGTGGCAAAATCACCTTCATTTCTTCCAATAAACGAACTACTTATTGCCAGTCCTGTGGCCTTTTCCTCTCTTCCCGTTCTCGTGGGAGTTGCGAATCCGTGCCATTGTGGTTCAATGCTTCTGCGATCCAGCACGTGATAGCTGATTATCGATTCGAGTCCTGTTAATCACATTAAGTAGTTGATGTTCCGAATTCCCTGCGTATAACTACCACCACTACAATTATGAAAACATCATCATCATCAGGATCATCATGATCATCGTCTGTATCATCCTCATGATCGTCATCATTATCGTCATTATCATCATAATCATCATCCAAATCGTCCGATTCATCAGCATCATCAGCATCATGGTCAAAATCACCGTCATGAAAACAATCACTATTCGAATACTAATAACATTAATCAGCATAAGCATCATCACTATCGTCATATTCAACATCATCACCATGGTCATCATCATCGTGATGACCACCATCATTATCATCAAGATCATCATCGATAACATAATGTAATGATTGTAGTAGTGGTAGTAGCAGTAATACGCACGGAATTCGGAACACCAACCACGCAATAGGAATCACAGGACGCGAATCGATAATCGG